AAAATAAAAATGTAAAACACGCAGACAGACTCAAACACAATATGTCACAAGAGTATAAAGACTGTAGATCATTACACGATTGGTAAGAGCAGGATTATCTGGTCACACTGGCTTTGTTATCAAGCCTAAGCTTGTAGAGAAAGACGCTGTTAAGGATGCAGCAAAGTGTCAAAAAAAATGACACAAACCAGGAAAACCAGGTTTTATTTCTAATGCTGAAGGTTTAATAAAAAGCATTTAGAGTTTTCCTACAGATGCAAAAATGCCTTACAATCTCAATCAACAAATGAAAAGCTGGTATATAATAAACTTGTAATTTATTTATCTCACTATGTTACTTCATCACCTGATCTCATCACACAGATGATACGAATCATAAAAGAAAAAGTTTGCTAAGGTTTTAAACACAGAAAAAAAAAAAAAAAAGTTATTAAGAAGAGAGTGTTCGATCAAGTGCAGAAAATAATGTTTGACTTTGAAATGTCAGATTAAAGTCTTACTCGCACTTACACTAAAGTGAAAATGACACCAACGCCCATAAACATCTGGGCTGTCTTTTCTCTGGAAAATCTAGCTCACTGTTAAATATTACAGGTATTTCTTGGCCAAACTACTGATCAACACTGATGGAAATTTGGCACCAGGCTTGACGGAAGTGCTGCCTTTGTTAAACCTGCAGTGGTGAGACGAGTCTGCTGAGTCAGACCTTTTTAAGACAAAAATAAAAAAATATATATATATGGTCCCAAAAAAAAGCTGGTTCTTCTCTCCAGCAAATTTCTGTTAACAAAAATCTTATTTATGTAAAACTATAAGTGAAAAGTAGTAAAACACCGGAAAGAGAACCTTAAGGCTCTAGTTTAAGGTGTTTTCCTGCTTTTAGAAATAGAGTAAAGGTTTTTATTTTCACAAATCTCAGTAGTTTCAAATAAAGACTATCCCTTTATTTTTAAAAAAAAGTTTAAATAAGTTCTGTCTTACCAGCGGATAAAAAACAAGCTCTAAAAATACACAAAATAAGGCTGTCTGTGCTGAACGCTAACCGAAGCTTTCAGTTCTCTGTTTCTAAACGGAGGCAAATGGGAGATGGTATCAGAAAAAGGGGGTAGGTATAGAAATGCCCGTCCCTCATTGAACCATCTAGAAAGATACCATGGGGTCAAGTTTCGAGGAAAGCTCATTCCAGCGTAGCCAGGAAATAGAGAGACAGGAATGCAAAACGCTGTTGTTCATAAACCGCAGAATACAATAAGAAAAATAAACAAAATGCAAAAAACATCAGCTCACCTGGACTATGGGGGGTTTTTCAGTAAGAAACAGGTTAAGCGCACACAAAGCATACAATAGCATCCCAGTGGATATGCAAAGGAACTAACAAAAACTATGCCTGAGGGGACAGATCCTCATTTGAGAGTCAAAAACTTTGCTCTACTTTATTTTCTCCTCAGACTCGAGATGCTTCCTCATGGTCACCATGTATAAACACAGGAGTGAGATGAGTGGATGGGGACATTTCAATTGCAACCCCAGAAATCCTTTCATCTAAGCAGTCTGCTTTTTAGGGGGTTGGGGGAGTTCCTGTGTATGCGAGTCTGCCTCTTTTCTTTTCTACGCCATTCTTTTCTTTTCTTTTCAGATGCAGGTCTTAGGCTCTGTGGGTGACAAGACGCCAGACTCTCAAATCTGTTATGTTAATGAGGAAGAAACATGTTCATTGGAGAAGGGAAGAATTCATATAAATACAGAGCATGGAGTAAATATACGTTGCAGCTTGTCTGGACTGGAGCACAGGTCACTGAAACGTAAATCTAACATGGAGACATGGCAAACAATCCAGTTGTGTTATCTTTGCAGGAACATCACAGGGCGGTATGAAATATAAAGAGAGACAAAAAAACAGCAATGGGTGGAGGTGAAATAGGCCGACTGGAATAAAGAATGCAAAAAGGAGTGGGTTGAAGGTGGCAGCATGTGCGTCAGAGTGCAGACAGAGTTTGAGCTCTACGCAGAGACGCTGAATGGACCAGAGGCTGGCTCAGCCACAGGCACACAGCTGCCCACTGGCAGAATGGAGCTCTAATAGGACCTTTTGCTTGCAACACAAAGGCTTTGTGAATGTTAGCATCTTAAGCACACACTGCAGCGCAGAGCGATCCCCTTAGAAAAAAAACCCAACCCACCAGCCTAAGATTGCTGCCATAAATTATGCTTCCAGCATGTCCAAAACAGGCCCGCTGTCTAACAGCGCCAGAGCTGTTGTCGAGTACAAGTGCTGCACGCCAAAGCTGCACTTCATTAAAGTGACTGCCAGTCACTGTGAACAATGATTTGCCAGGGTATCTGGCCACTTTTGAGTACCGCCGCTCAAAAACAAAAAACAAAAAAAAGCAAGAAGCAGTCTCTGTTAAATGGTTGATTGCATTTCCTTTACTAATTCAGTAATCAGATACTTCAAGGGCTGAGTGAGATTGTTCTTATTTTAGACTTCTGGCGTCACTCAGAAAAAACTGGGAAGACCGACATGAGTTGAACATCTTCATTCATTGAAATGTTAAGGTAAAACATTTTGCATATGATCAAAACTTTTTGCACAGTGGTAAAAAAAAACCTAAATGTTGGACTGGGTTAAGGGGGGGTAATCATCAGACAAACTGCAGCAGCAGGTTTGCAGATTCACATGACACCAATTTATAGATTTGGAGGGCTTGTTCTCACCAAGCTGTGACCAGACACGAGATTCTCACAGTGTGATAATGTTGATTAAAAATGTCACAGTTCGACTCTTTTATGGTATGTAAGGATTTCACAATGTGTAAAAATGGATTAAATGCCTTTATTTAAAGGAAACAACTTCTTTCTATAGATGCAAAACCATTAATGGTATAGTGGAGGGTTTTTTTTATCCCAGGTGGATCGTGAAAATAAGCGGTCCTAATTGTCGTTCATTCTGGTGATATGTTTACGTAAGGCCGTCCTACCTGCTCGACACTTTTTTCACTTACCGGTGTCGAGTCTGACGTAGTGGAAAAATTGTAAATCTTCTTTTTGAAAGTAAGCTTGTATGAGCGATGCAAACAGCAACTTTCTAAATAGAGTGTGCATAAGGAGAAATGGTGTCATGCACACTCTTGCACGCGTTTAAGGATTGTGATTAAAAGTGGAGATCAAAATTTTGTGAAAATCCTCCACTATACCTTTAAGATACGCATTATAATTGTTCAAAAAGCATACTCTACACAATATTATGTATATTATTTAAATATTACTGATTAAAATTTTGTTTTTTTAGATTGTTTTTTTTTTAATCACATTTGTGTGTGTACGCTCTTTTTCCCAAAAAAAACAATGAAAACCACACTGATTTTTTGGAACTGGGAAACATTCAAGAACAAAAGGACAGTTCCTGTGTATAAGTTTTTTCTTTCAGGCAGTGCAAAGCAACAGGTGTTGAAAAGGAGGAACTGTTAAAGACAATTCTGTTACTTTAAAACTTTTTCTGCCATCTTATTAAAAGTACTTTAATACATAATAGGTGTAACTTTTTTTTTAACAACCTGGCCTTAACTGGAATCTGTGACTCCAGATTCCAGAAGCAGTTTATTTTGGAAACCTCAGCAATGAGTAGCCATCAAAGTTGTTTTTTTTTTCTTTTCAAAAAGATAAGAGCTCCTCTGAGCAAGTTTTCTTCAACATGAACTATTTCTGTTCGCTGTAAGGAACCCCTATCAACATCTGAAATGCAATTAGACACTAGAGCTGGCGTGAGATTTAATCTTCTGCCTTTCTGTGGTTAAGTGTCGACCTTAAACTTGTAGCCATATTTACTATTCATGAGGGCCATTTACAAGAGCAGGATCTTTGAAGGAGCCTGTGACATTTCCTGTTTTGCAGACCAAATTTGTCCCTCGTCCTTGCACGTTATGGGCCAAGCACTGCTGGGAAGGAGGGGGGATTAAAAAGCATCCATCTAGGAATTTCAGATAATTGCAAAAAGAAAAAAAAACGGTTCTCTGTGAAGGTGTGTTTTTGGTATCCACCATAGATCAACCAACAGTCATAAAATGTTAAGCAAAGCGAAACATAAGTTGGCATGCTTACTTCCTAAACTCAGAAACAATGAAACTAAGGGGAGACGAGCTACTGAATGGTTTCTGAGTGCCCTCATTTTGATTATGATCCGAGACTGCAATAAAGAGGCTGCAAAATGACCCTGGCGTAGGCGGCTTGTTCAGTATAGCTGCAGATGATTCATTCAATGTATGTTATGGTTTCTTGCTCCTAGTGGTTTGCTTTCATATGTAACAACACATGTTTAGGTTATATATATATTCATATAGAAGTACAATCATAATAGAACAAAGCTGAATATTTGTAATTTGGCTGCAACTGCCTTCCCTTATCAAGAAGGGGAAAATAACAAAGCATATGTTTTGGCAAACTAACCTCAAAACACTCTTAGATTTAGTAATTTCTGATTCTTATTTGTAGAGGGGGAAAAAAAGAACTTGTACGTGTGGTGAAGATGGGGGAAGAGATATGCAACAAGGCTTCATGAGGCAAAGCACTCAAGCCTTTCAGTTTCTTCTCATCTGTGGTGAGGAGCTGTTTGTCAATAAGCTGCTAAACAACCACACTGTAAATCCACACACAGGTATTATCTGCAGCTTCAGTGTCATGGCTGTCTCTGTCAAATAGAGGATAGTTTGATGTTAAAAGGTGCTTGTTTACTGCACACCAAAAGCTGTTTATTAAGCTTAACCAGCTTCAATTCACTTTATTTATTCCTGCATCTGATATCAAGCAGTTTTATGTTTCTCGTTTCATTATGTTCCAGTTAAATAATATTGATAAATAAATAAACAGAAGTTTTCTCTCTAGTCCCACTAGGTGTGCTGCTTATAGGGAAACCAGCATGAGGAGAGAAAACTTCATGCAGGTTTAAAAGCACAAACATCATTATACAGCTGTTTAAAACAACCATGGGTTTGAGCAAATACTACCTGGTCAGCAGAGGCTTTTTTGAAGCTATGTCATCTTCATTAAAAGTAGAGAGAAGGGAGATTTCTCCGCAGTTGCAGCCGTCGGAGGAGCGTCCTACTAGCAGGACTGAGAAGCAGTGAAAGCAGCAGAGCTGCTGCCTTCAGACTCCACCGGACTGAAGCAATATCCGCGTGCAAACCAAACAGCACCGCGGAGGGGGGCCGGAGGCAGCCCGGACAAAGAAAAACCTAAAATACAAAAACACAGGGAAGAAGCTGACACATAAATGATTGATTGAAAATAAGAACAGTATTTTGTTTTTAACTAAAAGGGCACGTTTTATTGATTAAAACATATTTTATACCCCTCCTGCCCCTTTCCTATTGGTATGTTCCATTAAGCCGCAATTGTCTCCTCCCACTGGGTGCTGCTCGTGTGATTTTTACTATAAATTTTAGTCATGACGAGAAGAAAAAGCTTAGTTATGACAAGAAAGCAAAACTAGTCATCATTTTTTTTTATTCAGCTGTTGTAATATAGAGAAAACGTCAGAACATGATAAGTTAATTGCAGAGGCGTAGCCAGAACATTTTTGTAAGGGTGGCCAGGCAATAACCAAAAGATAGGCACCAAAACCTCTGTTCCAACAGGAAAATTAATCAGCAAAACATCCATATTCTCTAAATAAAGACAAACTATAATTTCCCACTGCCTTTGCTAACAAATAGACAAATATATTCAAACATCAATGCTTTCTAGATAAAAGGTATAGTGGATAAAATTCTTTAAGGTTAGATTTTTGGGCAAACATCTTTTCCATAGTCATTACTTACCTACTTTTATCAGTAATCATTCGATAGATAAATAGGTATTTATCTATGATTTCACTGAAGACACCTAGAGACACTTAATTTTCTCTTTACCCCATAAAACACTAAATCTATTTCTGCTTGAATTCTGTACTTATCATCTTTAACGTTAGTATATTGATGTGCATAATTAACCATAGTGTTTTTGTTGTCTAGAAATTGTTAATATATGAAAAATTATCTGTATCAGAGGGAAATAAATGGTAGAGGTGGCCAATGATTGGCTAAGGGTGGCCATGGCCACCTCTGGCCCCCGATGTAGCTCCGCCCCTGGTTAATTGCCCTTTATGTAGGCCGCAGACTGATAAGATTGCTGATTTAACATGTCCTTTTAGTCACACTACTTTAAGTCTCTTCTAAGGATACCATTTTTTTCCCAGGCCTGTTTTATGAGTTAATTTTTTTTCTAATCATGCATGATTGAAACACAGTGTGTGAACTTAATCAAATCTTTATGTGTTATTACTTGTGTCAGATTCAAGTTATTTCTGTGACCATTGTGAGTTTTTTTTCATTAACCGGGTGTACCATTAATTGTCTCCGTGTCTATATCATAGAGCAGATATTAATAGTTGTGCCTTAGTCTTTTAATCCTTAGGTGGATACAATATTGCATCTGATTATAGCAGCTTTGTCCATACCTTTGCGTAAAAAAAAAAAAAAAAAAAAAAAAAAAAAGAGTAAAATTTCTGTAGAATTGATTATTCCAAAACGACAGGATTCTATGAGGGTTAGAAATACATGATATAAAATCAAGGATACCATGCACTGGTTAATTACTCTTATAGCAAAGAACATAATTAATTATTTAGTCTTTTGTTAACCTGAAGTCAAACCTGATCTGCTCTCAGCAGGCCCCTTAATTCTTTAACCATCCATGTTTTTGATGTCCTTTAGAGGTCTAGTAAAGACAAAACACAATGTATGCATGTGCATGTACAGTAGCTCAGTGTTATTTCTTTGTGAGCCAAAAAAGCAAACATAATGGTTCTTGTGGTCAGTTCAAATTTAACACATTCTGTTGTTTTTTTTTTTGTTCCTGTGTTGATGGTAACCAGAGGAAACTAAGTCATCAGTCTCAGTAATAGGCCCGTTTCACTTTATGTGCATGGTTAACACATACTTGTTACTAACAGCATTTGTCCTCAAATCGACCTGATAGCAACATCACCAGGAATCACATGGATGGTCCATAAGTCTGTGAGGTGCTTTAATTTTTGAGATTTTCATTAGATAATCAAAATGCAACAAATGTAACAGCTTTTGGTCTAATAAAGTTTTATGAAATAGTAACAGGTTCTACAGGCCCATGCATCTCACCACCTTTAAGGGGCATTTTTAGGTTTCCCGTCTGAGATTGATGAAAACATTTCTTTAATGAAACTTAAAAGAAATTTAAAATAAATTCAACTATTAATAATAATAGCTTAACACACTGAAGTCACTGACATTTACTTCTGGTTTTTTCTATGTTGGCTTCAGCTCATAGTTATTTCATATTTCTTTCTGCACATTTTTTAAGAAGTTCCTGATAACTCATGTTTTATTAATAATAGTTACTTTTGCTCACATTTACTGAGCAAAAGAAATGCTGGTACTAGAGGCAAACACTATAAGGACCCGCTGTAATCAGGGTAGCGATTACCCAGAAAGGCAGTGTGTAAATGTTTCTCACCAACAGAACTCCAAATCCTGCTACGGAAAAGTTCACCGCTACATGCTGGAGCAATTCACTTCAGTCCACAAAAATCCTGTTAGCAGACCTTCAAACGTGTTTCCAGGGAGATGAGGTGAAAAATATAAATATTTGCAGGATCACACTTCAGAAGCTGAAACAAGAGCCCAGAATGCTGCTGGCAATACATCCAGTGGGTTGGGAAAAAAAAAACTTTGCAAAATCTTTCTTTTGTAGGTGAATTTTATGAGTGAAGTTTGTAAATGTATTTAATGAAACTCATTTATCATGGTGGATGTTTTGAAAAGGTCTGATTTTTTTTCTGCAAGACGGTGTTTAAAAATTAACTCTTTATTAAATGTGTAAATGTAAAAAAAAAAAAATGAAGTTTTAAAAATCTATGTAAGCAGGACTGCTTATTTAACAGGATCTCATACCCACATTAATATACATTAATGGGATGACACCCACTGCAAAGATTAAAGCATTAAATACACGTTCACAAAATAAAACCTGTTTAAAACCAATAAAATACCTTTTAGTCAACTTTTTGTTTGTTGTAGTTTTTTTATTTGATGTAGAAAAAAAATCTACCACTCAAAAAGCTGCAACATGCACCTGCTTCTGATAACTTCACAAAAAGCATTAGGAAATCAAGATTTCTGGTTTTTATTATTCAAAAATTACCTGGGTAAAAGTTTGTAGGTATGACTTATAAAATATTTATAAAATGCATAACAGGCATTTGTAAAATAGAAAAGAGAAGACAAGAATCATCAGGTTTATTATTAGAAATGTTTCTTCTATATTTCAAGCCAAAAACAGCTTGAGGTAATCAGTTTATTTTTAAATGATATGTCGCATTATCTTCAGAACTCTTATACCTTCTAATAATTCCTCTAAAAAATGAGGCACAGCCTTATGTATCCAGTCCAACCAGTTACCCCACATATATAACTGAACAGCAGTCTAGGCCATCAATCACTTAACAGTAGAGAAAATAAGAAAACTATCCCATTAGTCTGCAGACAGAAAAGTATAGACTCCAACGCACCAAGAAATCGCAGAAATATTGGTAGTGCAAACATAATGCACCAACAAAGTGGCATTTATGGGCAACAAATATCCCTGGAAGCCAACCTAATTTGAAGAAAAAAAAATCTTAACTTGTGTATGAATAACACTTAATATATTTAACAAAAACAACCTTTTTACAAGAAAAAAAAGTTGAATATCACTGTGGGAAACATCATTCCAACATTAGTTTAAGTTTTCATGACATGTTGAGAGAAATGTGAAACACTACCTGCTGCATAATTACACATTTGAAAACACTGAGCCTGCAGGAGGGGATGATTCCATTGAGCAGAAACTCCAAAACCCAACAAAAACATTTCACTTCATGGGAAAATCTCAGTGCTGTAAATGTGGGCACAACGTGCCTTAACCAGACAGGATACACAGTCTTGTAAATTTCCAGGCAGTAATTCTTGTAAATCTCGGATGTGTTTACTCAATAGTGTGTGTCGACGTGGACGGCTCCCATTGGGCCACTTGCCTGTGCAGCTTGCAATTAGCATCCAGAGCTTGGCAGATATTAATGATGCCATTTAGGAAGGAGGAGGGTAGAAAAGCTCCTCTCCCATAGAAGCCACAGCCTCCTGTTTATTCATGATGTTAGAAGTTGTTAATCATCATCCTCGGGACCCCCAGTGTTGCTGGTTTCCAGTTTAACCAATTAGATGGGCACCATTCTCTCCATTCTCACAATGGTTGGAGAGGCAAATTAAATTTATAACCTAGCGAGAGAGAATACTGGTCATCTCTGTGTTCGGACTCTCAAAGAAGTCGTTGCAAAGACATGTCAGGGATTACAGGATGATTTATGGAAGGAGGGAAAAAATGAATAGTTGAAGACTGGAAAAAACTAGATCTTGTTTCAAAAACTCATTTTATTAAACCAAAAACTGTTCTAATATTTAACATTCATTTGTTTTATTGCAACATACTGGGGTCAGGTCTTGTAGAACAGACTAATAAAATATTCTGCATCAAATAGAAACAAAAATGTTGAAAAAAACAAACAAAAAACAACTGCAAAAAGAGACAAACATTCACTTTAGAAACCTCAACTGTGTACTTTCTTGAAGATAAGTGCTGCCACACTGTTGCCAGTTTTTCCTCCAAACTGGAAACTAGGGGTAGGCAACTCCTGTACAAATTCAAATCCTGTTAAGAAAAAAAAACACACACAAAAAAAACAGATTACTGCCAAGTTAGGAATATCCACCAAAACACAGGCAAAGGCTCATTTTGTTATGGACCATAACTAAGTAACTAAAAGGAGGTTCAGCCGGCAATAAAGTGAGACAACCATCCGTCCACCATCTGTGCTGCTTCCTGGGGTCTAGTAAAGGCAAGCTGTCAGTGTGAAAGATGAGTTTTCAAGGCTGTTTGGCCCCCTGCAGGCTCTCCAGAGCGACTGCAGACAGACGAGTGACAGCTAGTGGAAGCTTGCCTATACTCAAACTGTACGGGCCGTTGTTCCCTGCTGCTTAACAACCTGTCAAGTAATTATTGAGACTGAAAATCTGTCTGAGAGTTTTTTTCTTTTCTTTTTGGAACAGAGAGTTAGACAACAGAACAGTTTGATATAAAGCTGCTGCATGCCAGAGAGACAGTTTAAAACAAACTAAACACAAAAACACTGATGTAGTCAGAGAAAATAAGAAGTATACTATTGGGATTTGATTGATATGCAGTTTAGTTCTAAAAACATTGAGCTTAAGAAAAAAAAACTAAATCTATTTTATAAATTCTACATCTACAGGGGTTTCTGCAAGCTTTACTAGGGTAAATTTAGAGGTAATCTCTACATTTTATCAAAAAAAAAAAAGATTTCAAATGTATACATCCACAGAACATCTAGAGTGGTGTAGAGTAAAACAATAATTTTATATGAATTACATAAATGATTTTTTTAAATCAATTTTAACCATAATATGTAAATATTCACTTATGGTTATGATGCCAATATCTACATAAAGGATTCTTGCACCAATAGGAATAGAAGTTTGAAGTCATGTGAGACTAAATTCAGATGTTGCCAGATCCTATTAGCTGTGAGAGCTCTGAGAAATAGCCTTTTTTATTTTACAGATTAAACCAAATAATAAAAGCTAAACTAATGTGAACATGGGTCAAGCTTCTGAGCGTTGGTGCTGACTTAATAAAGAAAAGGTGCTCAGAGGCCACATGGAGGTAAAAACCTTGCTAATGCTAATCCAGATACCATCAGACCTGGCAACCGCCTGGAAGACATTGCAGAACAAGAACGGTGAGCTCAGGGGCGCCACTTACTGGCAGGAGGAGGTTAGATTTATGGCTATCGCCTTTAATATTTTAAAAATTGATAGTAATACCTTCCTGCATTATGACAAACAACCTCAACCGCTGAAATAAAAATGTTAAGCTTGGTATATGCTGTTCCACTTGCTTCTACATGATTATAAAGCATCTATTGAAATGTATTCATACCCTTTGACTTTAATCATATTTGGAGGTTATAGGAAAGTAGTGCATAGTTGTGAAATAAAATCTGAAATTATGTATTAGTTTCCCCAAAATGTAAAAAAATATAATAAAAAAAAATTCATACAAACCTGAAAAATGTGCATTTGTATTTAGCCTCCTTATTGTGATTCTCCTAAATAAAATCCAGGTAAACCCAACTTTGTCTAATTAGTAAACATGGTCGACTTGGGTGTAATTTAACCTTAGAGAACCATTCTAGGAAGTGACAAGAAGAAAGCTATAATTCTAGTAAAACCATAAAAGGTCCAGATTGCAATCATCCACGTAAGGGAAGTGAGAAACAAGGTCCTCTGGTCAGATATTGAGGTCAACAGAACTTTATGGCCCAAATGCAAAATGCTGTGTGAAGCATGTCATTGGGATCAAACCAGCTCTACTGTGAAACATGGTGGTGACAGCATCATGCTCTGCGGTGCTTTACTTCAGAAACAGGAAAAGTAGATGGGAGCTAAATTTATTTAGACGACCCTAAATGTGCAGCACAGAGAAAAAAAAAAAAGTAATATCAAAATATAATTAGGTTTTAGAAAGTAACAAGTAAGGTTCTATTTTTATTAAAGATTTGTCTGGATGTTCAACTGATAGAGACATATTCTAGTTGGATCACAAATCTGTTTACATAGTGTTCACTCAGATTTAGAATAGTACATTACATGCTTTTCTGATTTTTATTTGTAAATAATGTAACTAAATATTTTCCTTCCACATCACATATTCTCCACTTCTCTGCGTTCGTCTATCATATTAAATACATTAAAGTTTCCTAATGTAATGCACTAAAACGGTTCAAATGGTATGTTTGTTTTTTTTTCTTTTCCCCAAAATACCCGTCTCTTTACCAGCAAGAAATCTATAGAATACAAATACTAAAATTTTATACATTATATCAAAACCTCCAATCAAAAATCCAAGAAGAGTAAAAACAAAATTTGATGTTTGAAGTCATTCATATCCTCTTACCGTCACAGAATCTCTCTAGCAACTGCTCTTTGGTCCAGTTACAGGAAGTGATAGCAAAGATGCCATTGTCTTTAAGAGCTTCTTTTAGGGTGCGGACATACAGTTTTTTGCACTCATTGTTGTTATCCGGGTTTAAACTAATGGCATCGAATGTTCCTTTGTCAATGCAGAAATCAAAACCTCCGAGTTCTCCTGCAGAGTTAAGGAAATCAGCCTCCTAAAAAAAAAGCAAAAGATCACAAGTTGAAGATGTGTCTATGATATATTATTTGTTTTTTTTCCTTTCTTCATTAAAAAAAACGTCAAAAAAAAAAAAAAAAAAAAAAAAAAAAAAAAAAGACCGCCTTAACTCTGAACTCTAAAGCTGCAAAACAAAGTCAAGTTTCTGCTTCGTCTGCACAGGCTTCAGAACCAACACATCCACTACAGAAAGAGAGAAGCCTTTCTGTGGGCAGAGCATAAAATCCCAGACCTCCGGTGTGAATCCACCAGCCGCGTACTTATAAACACACAACCACAATATATGAGATTTATGAAGGAACATCAACAGTGGCTCACTAGGTTTAGATACCTAGAGATATTTTCACAGCTGTATTTAAGCATGCAGAACACAAAATATTGAGAAGATGCTCAAACAGAGCATTACTACTGTAAACTGAGAGGGCCGTGAGATTAATTTAGAACTATAACTGACCTATTTAAGACAAACATGCTCTGATTATTTTGGCAACTTTCAATGCTGCATAAATGAGAGAAGCCAACATTCCTCTCTCACATGTTTGCACCACTATGCCTCCCCTATGCAGGCGGGGGTCAATATTGACTTTAAGGGAAACCCTTCTGCCCAGGCAGAGAGCACACCTTGATGGGTGTGTTCATGTAGAACATCGACGGAATATGCACATAACCTGCTCATGACACGCTTGATGGACCACCATGCATCTATAAACCATTTCTATTTGGGTTTAAGCAGACTTTTTTTTTTTTTTTTGAAGAGGGATAACCATCACTTCTAATGCATTTTCTTTGGTTAACACAGCTAAGGTTTCTCAGCCTTTTCATTAGAGCTGCACAGCCCTAAAACTCAGATCAGATACTGAATAACTAGCTGGTTCAAATATGGGATGAATGACGTCCATTCAGCTCTTCCACTTTTAATGTGGTTGTCAGTTTGTGCAAAAGAAGAACATGAGTACAGCACGACGCTGCCTACCACAGCTGCTTATGTTAGTCAGTGTTAGGTGTTTTTTTTTTAATGGAAAGTAAAAAAAGATTCATTTTGACCTCATGTTATCAGAGCACATTCTTCCACATATTTGCTGTGACCCTAATAAACCATATAAAGTCCCATATTAGCCCTACAGGACTTTATTTTCTCCACTTTTTCACTCATATTTTGGAGTGCACAATCGAAAGCTGTCCTGCAGACAGATTCTCTTGCCTGAGCTGCAGATCTCCTCAGAGTTACAACAAAGAATCACCAACATATTGCCTTGAATTAAATTTGGATGCAAAATTGTCAATGGAACAAGTGCAAATGCTAACAAAACTTTTCAGAGCAAAAATGCGTATAAGGTGTAAGGATCACAAATGTACCTTAAGGGCATTACAAAGGGATTACACTCCTTTTTTTTTATACTTAACAACTTGGGTAAGATATATCATTTTTGCACTATTACCCATATTCTGGGCAGAAAGTCCCCTTAAAATAATATATACTAGGGGTGAAGAAAAAAAATAAATTTGAGCTTAAATCGCGTTTCTAACATTTAAAGATTCAGTATCGATTCTCATTTTTTTTTTAAACTATTATTTTTGTGGCTGCGGATGTGCTTTATCAGGTACCGTAGTGTTTGGCGAAACCAATGAGCAGCTGTGAGCTATGCACAGGCATGCAAGCGTTAGCCTAGCAGGCTACAGAGTGGTGTGTAGTGTTGTGTGAGCTACTGTGTTTGTTGCCGCTAAAGTATGGAGGACAAAGAAAAAGAAATTCAACCACCTCCGCGGTCTTTAAAAGCAACCGTTTGGAAACACTTTGGATTTTACCTTCAACCCGGCCCGGGTAAGAAAGGGCTTGGCATGACTCATGCGATTTGCAGAGACTGCAACGGTAAAGTTAAGTATTTCGGGAGTACTTCAAATCCCTGTTCTCATCTCGAAAGACATCACCCAGAGTTGTTGGTAGAATTTACCTTTCGGTGTTTACATTATTGCAATAGGTAAATAAAACATTTACAATTATAAAGTCTTTATAAATGTACTCTTCTTTCATGCCAGCAGATTGGAATAGATCCTGAGAATCGTTTTGAATCACAAATTAATCGTTTCTGAATTGAATCGTTTGGATTTGAAAGAATCGGGGGAAAAAAATCGAATTGTGACCCCAAGAATCGATTCTAAATTGAATCGTGGGAATCCCAAAGATTCACAGCCCTAATAAATACCACTATCATCAGTGCACAACTGTGTTCAAAGCCATTCCTCCACACAATCTTTCCAGCTCTTCTGAATAGTCTGGTCACAGCTGGCTGACTCTCCTTCTGGACGACCTAAACAGACACTTTTTCTTTCACTTCAAGCAGAACACATATATATATATATTTTCTTCCACTTTAATCTGTTCCTCCAAACCTTCTTGCCGGCTGACCAAACCTCGGCTCATTTAACTCTGTGGCGGATGCTGCTGATTTTTCTTTACTCTGCTTTTTTTTTTATGCTGGTGTAACTAGGTTTCCTAATGACAGCTTTAAGATAAAGCTGTTTGAAACATCCCTCATCAGCAAGCTAACCTTAATAATCTAGGTCAAGATCTTTGTGTGGGGATTTTTTTTAGCCATCTTCACCGTTTACTGACACAAAACCAGTAGTTTGATCTCATCCCACCATATATCTGGGAGCCTTTTCTGGTCATTTATGATGTTTTGTGTGTGCGTAAAAACACAATAGGTCATTTAAACTGTAGGACTTTCTGAGGTAAGCATGGTAAAAGTTAAAGCAGCAAAGTAAAATTCGACTTATATGTCCATGTTTACATTTTTTTTTTTTTAATGACAGATGCCTACAGATCTATAGATTTAAAAAACAAGCTCACCTTCACAGTGACATCAGTCAAGCCCTCTGCCTGCAGGATGTTTCTGGCCAGTTCTATTGATGCGGGGGAATAATCTACACCTGTAAGGTTCTTGTATCCATGCTTCGCCTAAGAAAAAACAAAACATGCAAATTAAGATTAAAGGTAATCTATGAAATAAAAAAGTGCATGGCTTACTCAATTCTTTTGTATTAAAATTGGTGTATTCTGTTTTGCTGTATTATTATCCTAACCAAAAAAAAAAACATAATTCAGATGCATTACAACAACATGGTAGACATAAATTGCTCTTAGACACTTTTATCCTTTTAAAACCATAGTACTCTTTTTTTCTTTTACACGCATGTTGTATTTTGATGCAGAATGTGTAAAATATATTACCACCATTCACAGTGGTTTTGTTAGAGGAAAAGTTTTCACATCAAAATGAACCATCAACACTTAAACTATGTCTCTCTGTAAATTGAAAAAGTTGCATTTTATTTGAATTTGACTTTGCTCACACCAGTTCAACCAAGAAGGCCCCATTTCCAGTGCCGATATCAAGAATGGCTGCATCCTCTGGGATCTTAGCTCTGTCCATCCATCGCAGGACACGACTCATGCTTTCTTCACCAAACCTTTAAAGAAAAAAATAAATAAATTGTTGGCGAATCCAATTATACTTACTGTTGTGTTAAATTCAAAACCAAAAACAAAGAAGGTTTTAAACAATTCAATGTACTACATCAATAAATAAAAAGGCACAGTCATCCCAATTTAAAAAAAGGCTGGAGTAATATTTAAAGCGAAGCTAAACATGAATAATCCCATAAAAGAAACTACAAAAACACCATCTTTTTTCATTTATACTAATCTATTCAGTGGCACTTCCTGATTTGTTGAAGGGTGTGTCTTTAATAGGAAAGCACCTTTACCAAAAATCTGGGCTAACTATTTAAATATTGCAGCTATGGCCAAATATTGACATTTAGTGACACGTATTTGTCTACCCATTGATCACCATTAAAAATGGTGCTTCAGTTAAACACCTCATAATACTGCTCTGTTATCACCATCACTGCGACAAACCCAAACAAATGGAACGTCTGTACTCCTCCCAGAACACATGCTGCTGGCCCAGTTTGATTAAGGGACAGATACCAATATATTCAATAGAATGGCCGACACTGGACATTTTTATTCATTTATTTATTTAAAATAAACTGGATGGTAAGTTAAAATGTTATAAAATGACCTTTCACTTGTATTTATAACTTTTCCAAGATTGTTCAAGGCAAGGTAACTTTAGTGTAAGAAATGTTCCAATTTAGTAGAAAATAATTTGATAAACTGAAAAGAAAAAAAATGGACCTTCAACAGGAAATAATTAGCCTAATTTTGTGTCAGACAATGAACAAAATAAAGGCTGTGTCCTTTCTGCAATTTATATCATATCTTTGGTTTCACATGTTAATTGAATAGACAATACTTTATAACCTTTATTTCTAAACCTGATGTTGTATTATAATAAAATGAGAGAAATTATTTTGTTTTCCTAGATTCAAAATAGGGACATTTTGGGGTGAAAAATAAGTAGACAAAAGAGCTAAAAACCTTACACAGAAGAATGAGATTTCATTTTTAATGCTGGTGTAGAGCCCTAGAAATACAATAGCGTAAGAACGTGATAAAGTTAAAATCGATAGGCATAATTATTTTTATTGTGCAAGCGTTTATTTGATTTAGTAGAGTTAGTACAATTAATTTGGTTTATGACAAATTATGTGCTCAAACTACTTTTTTTTAGCTTTTGTATTTCATACATTTATGTCATGATAATACCCCTTTAAGAGGACACGATGCATGATGGGAGAAGAAAGTTCATGACCTTTTATAAAAAAAAGAAAACTATATAACTGCTGTATGCTCGAACCGTGGATTTAGTTAAATAAAGTTGCACAAAAACGAAAATCTATTTGTTTTTTTAGTTCTTTTTAAGGGTGCAACACTTGTCAATTTTGAGGTCAGATGGGTTTTAGGAGCATCTTTGACGTTCCTGAAGCACGTCCAGTAAAGAGTGTACAGATGCTTCAGCTGCTCCTGTGTTCAATGGCAGAGAGCAGCTTTACTATAGTTGCTGTGATAAGTGGGTAAGAAGTAGTTTTAATATAAGTGAGAAAGTCCACCTCAAAGCATCGTATGCGCTTTCAGTTCATCAAGATTACGATCCTGCGTTAAAATATTATTTCGCTGTTGGAACATACCGACGGTACGCTGTCACTGGAAATTGAGCAACAGCTGCCTCAGACCCAGTCCTCTCTTAAGAGTTTTTCACTACTGTTCATGGCGACTGGAAGAAGATTGTAAACTAATGTAGGCATTAATAAACTGTTTCAAGGGAGTGATTGTAGCACTCTACACAAGCAGGGCTGTCCGTCTCCCTGCCAGCTCAGAGATTAGCAAAAGTTCTAGTTTTTCCAACTCCAGCATCTGCTTCTTTTGCAGCGCGTATCGCGCCTCAGATGCTCAGAGACTCATGAGGCGCTGCTTCAGCTGCTCTGATGCACCAAGATGCACTGCTCGAGACGTGCTGCAGGACCTTCTCATGCACCTTGATGCGCGTCAACCATACGCTTTGCATGTAAACCAGCTGGTTCTGCTGCTTGAATCGCGCCCGGGGTGTATGTAGCATTAGAGATATGAAAAGAGCAAATTACATTTTAACTTTAGCTATTCAGTAAGAAAAAATAAACCTCTCAGAGGGGAAAGGGGATATAATGCAGCTATCAGAAAAGGCTTCTTTAGATGGAATAAAAAAGAACCAAAAAAATGTCAAACAGTTAACAGAACTGTAAAAAACAGAAGTATAAACATGAGAAATACATTATTTTTTTTATCTTGCTTTGCTAACAATAGCTTTTCACAGAGCATCTTAATTGGTAAAGTTGTTTTATGTATTCAGTAGTCTAGTTGTAAAAAAACAACAAAAAAAAAACAGAAGGGGCATGGTGGAATTTTTTTATTTGGAAGCATTTATAATATAGTCTTTTAACCTAAAGCAATATGAATGGTATGGTTGTTACATCGTAGGTACGCCGGTCATTGACCTTGACCAAGGCACCTTACAGCAGAACTGCAGTCAGTCCCTGGACTGACATGGCTATCACTGCCCCTACATAGTTAGGGACTAATGCAGAGGACAAATTTCCCACTGGGATCAGCTTCATAGTCATGGTAGGTCATTTTTTGAGTTTCTGTATTTTGCTCAGGCTTACTCATAATCCCACAGCCCGCGAAATGTTGAAAGGGCAATATTATTGCCATTACTGTTAATATATATAGCAGAAATTTTACACATTCGGTAATATAATGTAACAGGGGATGGTATGGGTGGATGATTTTTAAGACTTTTTTTTTTAGGGATGCACTGGTCCAATATTTTTTTCGGTATCTGTCCAGATATAAGGAAAAAAAACTAGATCGGTATCGGTGACAATTGACTCGATATAGGGGCCGATCTATTCCTTCTAACTCTATGCTATGCTCTGCCGTCATGCGGCAGCGCAACAACAGAACATGGCCATATTAACTATTAACACCACCAACTTAAAGGAATAGTACACCCAAAACATGATTAGCCTTCATTTTCTACTCACCCCCATGCTGAACAACACTCTGGAGTACTTTTTTGATATCTCAAATGCATCTGGAGATCTGGGAGGCTTCTTGCTGTCTGCTGACATTCAAATAATAGAGGTGCCCAGCGCCCGAGGCAGAAAGGTCCATAAAAGTCCACAAAAAACGTTTCAATATTCATCCATACTGCTCGTCCAATGTATTCCAAGTTTCCTGAGTGGGTAGCATCCAGAATTTACTCGAAACGAAGTCATTTAGAATGTTTTTAGAGCATAAACAGTAGTGTATAGGATTTCCTGAAAGCGCGCACATGCGCGATCACGACGCTACGGAAGCCGGCAGACCAAACCAGCGCATTCAGCTCGGCAAAGAACTCATGCTCTTCCTCAACACTGAAGTCCTCAGACATTTTTCTTTCGTTGTTTCTTTCTTTGCACAGGTAAACGGCACATTTCTTCTTCTACGCTTGCATTATTGGAAGAGCAGATGCTGAATGCGCACTTTCATCTGGTTTGGTCTGCCGGCTTCCGTAGCGTCGTGAGCGCATGTGCGCGCTTTCAGGAAATCCTATACACTACTGTTTATGCTCTAAAAACATTCTAAATGACTTCGTTTCGAGTAAATTCTGGATGCTACCCACTCAGGACACTTGGAATACATTGGACGAGCAGTATGGAGGAATATTGACACGTTTTTTGTGGACTTTTATGGACCTTTCTGCCTCGGTCACCATAGACCTCCATTATTTGAATGTCAGCAGACAGCAAGAAGCCTCCCAGATCTCCAGATGCATTTGAGATATCAAAAAAGTACTCCAGAGTGTTGTTCAGCATGGGGGTGAGTAGAAAATGAAGGCTAATCATGTTTTGGGTGTACTATTCCTTTAATGAAAGACCTCCAGAAGTTTCATAACAAGGAACATGCTGAGATTATCGGACTCGGCAAACAAAAAGGAAGCAGCGGGAAGCACCTAACTTCTCGAAGCAAAGGAAAGAAGTAACATTTTTCCATGTAACAGTATACAGGCCAAAAAAAAAAATCATAGAGGTGATACATGATAATAATAATGACACTCTTTTTTTTTTTTTTACATGTTGACGAAGTCAGAGAGCTTTTGGTTTAAGATTTTGTGCACAGTTGTTAAATAAATGAGTCATAACATTTATATTTGGGTTGTTTCCAATTTTTTTTTTTTTAAGAAAAGGGAAGTCAAATCATATGCACAGAAGAATGATCCCAGATTTTTTATTTTTTTTTTTACACAATAAAACAATTTTTTAGCTAATAACTCAGTGTTGTTTTTGGTATCGTATCGGCCGACATTAAACTTCAAATATCGATATTGTATCGGAGGTGAAAAAAGTGGATCGGTGCATCCCTACTTTTTTTAATAATTGGGATCGCATCTTGAGTACTGATTGAATGTATTTAATAGGGACAATGTAAAAAAAAAAAAAAAAAATCAAGAGGCTTTGCACAAAGTGTAGTTTATCCTGGTTTCTATTTTTAGTAAATACAGATGGAAAATAAGTGGTTTTCCAAAGAACTTGAATATAGTTGGGTACAATTTAATGTTATTCCCAGATCCAAGCTCTGATCTTTAAGGTGCCACCAGCATTTGTTTCTGATTCACTTCAATTTGGACAAAGTACCTCTTTTAGATAATTGCTGTTCCCTTTAGAGAAGTTTCTGATGAAAAAAAGGATAAATATGCTTGCGCAGCTCCTGTTTTTAGCAGTCAATCCTAAATACCTCAACATCACAGTTTATCGTTTTGTGTTTACCTTTTTACTAACCCCTCTGTAATACTAAAACTTAAGACACATGGAAATATAATATCATAATTTTGTGAAAAAAAACCCCTCTCTTTAAACATAGTGATCAGCACAAAAAGAAAAACATACCATATTTCCCCAATGTCTCCAATGTCTTTAAACGTCTCTAGTTCTTTTTGGTAGGCTTCCTCCCAACTGCAGAGTAAGAAAACCATTGAAAAAATGGAAACAAATACTCAAGACAATCTGTTGCATTATATACACATTAAAAAACTGGATGCAATTACATCATAAACAAGAGGATAAAACGGCCGTTTGTGAGCATGCTTAGGCTAAAAATAAATCAACACATAAATGCAGATGTTTAAGTTTCCTTTAGAAACTGGCAAAGGTTGAAACTTTGCTCTCTATGTGACAAACAGGCAGTTCTCTGAACTAATAGCATGCAGATATCTGCTAACTGATACGTTGAGTCGCCAACATGAACCATTGCGCAAACATTTGGACAATCGACACTTACTATTCTTTGGTCCCGAGTTTTGACGTTTCAAAATCATTATCAGTGCATTTATCTTCGTTTTCACAACCATGTGACTCCTCACTGGTGTCTGCCATGCTGCTGCAGCTTTACACTACTGCCAAGCCTACGTTTCTTCTTCTTTGTTTTCGATGGCGGTTGGAAAGCAACTTATTGATACGCATTACCGCCATCTCCTGGAATGGTGTGGATCGGGATGCTATATATATAAATTCTCCCACAAAATAAATAAATAAATAAATAAATAAATAAATAAATAAATAAATAAATAAATAAATAAATAAATAAATAAATAAAAATAAAATTATAATAATTAAGTTGATAAATCTTTTATTCTTTCTATCAATTTCGTTTTCTTAAGGTAATTAATTAAGTAAAAAAATATTTAATAGTAGAAATTTTGTCCAAAATATCTTGTATATTTAATTGCAATTTATTTTCTTGTAATCGACTAACTAATTCCCTTCTCTCAACAGAATATTTAGAACAGACTAACAAAACATGTTTTACTTTCTCTTCTTGAAAACAAAACTCACATATTCCCTTGGGATATTTTCCCATTTTAAATAATGTACTATTAACCTTGTATGATCAAAACATAATCTGGATATAACGCTTTTTATTTCTGTGTCTTCCTGTTCTCCTCATTGTACCAACTTTTCTTTGAATACTGTAAAGCCACCAAGCCTACATTTCCCATAAGGAAGTGCGTGAAATGAGCGTATCCGCGACCGTAGGGGGCATTGGGATTGATAGGGATGTTTCCATCATGGCGGCATCCATTTCAGGTTACACTTTTAGTTCTGTGTGTTATCACAGCGCCAACAGCAACTCAGATCATGTAAGTACTCAGAAGATAATCCCAGAGGGTCGCGGTTTAGTGCTCGAATGTGTCTTCGTAGTCTGTTGACGCGTATTATTGCTTATGTTGCCTTTAGTCTGTGTTGTTTTCCAGTGTCATTCTGGTTCCGTCTATCTACCGGCTGGTTTTCTCTGCTTTAAATTGTAGATAAGAATTGTCAATCTTGGGATGATTTAATGCATAACATTAAATAGTATTCCACATATATGGAGTCAAGTATTGGACATTATCTATATAAACACCTGCTTTATCGCTTTGGACTCCTAACGGAAAAGGGAAAGGTTAAGATCCAGGAAATATCCTGTAGTTAGCTACTTAGCATGAGAACCAAAGTCAGCTCACTTCCGTGTATCGATATAATTATCTGAACCTACTTCGCACTTTATTTCTTAAAAAGAAGAGTGCTTTATTAAAATAAAAGGTTACATAATAGCATTTTAAAACAGTAAGAGCAAAAAAAGTAAAGCATCAGGCTATGTTTTCTTGTCTCATTTTAGCTTAGCATGGTTAGCTTGTTAGCTAGTTCGTTTTTACACTACTTTTTTTTATATACCTATAAAGAATAAATAAATCTCGCTCTGTTTTCTGTATTTTGTTGATTTAAAGTGGTTGATTTAAAAAAAGGCCCTAATTGTCTAAGAGTTAACGTAAAAAACAACTTTTAATGACAATGTTAGCACAACAATGTTAGCTCCAGTGTTTACAATATTAGACTTAAAAAGTCGGCCTTGATAGCTGGTTTGTTCATGCCAGTCAAGGTACAAGTTTAACTGCATTCCTGGCTAAACACCTCCTAGCTATCACCTCTGCACAGTTAAAGGAAACATATAAAACTGGGTAAAATGTTCCTACTCCTTAAAAAGTTAAAATATTTAAAAAAAAATATTAGCTTTCAACCTATTATAGTAAAGCACATTTGATATTAAAATCTAATGTATTAATGTCTCACCATTCTCTGCATTAAATTCCAACCTCTAAAATATTTTATCCACTTGGACTTTTAAACATTTAAACAAAGTATATTATGGATGATTGTATTGATTTTTATGCAATGGAGGAGTAAAAAGTAGTGCAATGAAAAGAAACATGGACTCTGTTTTTCTACTCATCCACCTCAGTCTGTTATTTTAAAACAACCTTTTTCTACAGCAGCAGGTCTCTGGGATATGTAGGTAATACTTGTATATATGTAG